TTCATCTTTTAGCTTCAACCTCTTGCAACATCTCTCCCCCTGCCTTTGACATTTCTGCCTTCCTCTTGTTAAGTATCCTTGGGATCTCTCCATCATACACCCTGGCTTAACAGTATCTGCAAAGTCTCCTTTGACATACTAAGTAACATTCACAGGCTCCAGCAGTTAATATATAAACATCTTTGGTGGGGAGCATTACTCATCCTTTCAAAACTATCATGGAATTGTTAAACACAATGAGAGATACAGAGTAGGTATATGAATACTAAACTATCTTACTTTATAGTTTCAAGACACACAGCAAAAGTGTCTCCATAAAGACTCTGTCTGTATGTAGTGTCCCTTTGGCCATCAACACTCAAATGAAACTGATAGCCGTTAGACTTTTGGGGAAAGCATTTTGGCATAGTGGATAAATCTGCCACCCATGACACTGGCATCCCATATGGGTGCCAATTTGAGCATCGGCTTCTCCACTTCCAACCCAGCTCCCTGCTAATGTGCCTGGGAAAGTAGCAGAAGATGGCCCAAGTTGTTAGGCCCCTGCATCTATGTGGGAGAACTAGAAAAAGCTCCTGTTACCTGGCTTCAATCTGGCCCAGTCCTGGCCACTGTGCCCATTTGGAAGAATGAACCAGCAGATGAAAGATTCTCTCTCTCTCTCTCTCTCTGTCTTTGTCTCTCCCCCTTCTCTGTATCTCTGCCTTTCAGACAAGTAAAATAAAAGTATTTGAAGATTTGTTTTGAATTTTTCACTAGGACATATTGTGGTCTGTATGAGTGTCTGGTGTGTAATGGACCATAGAATTCACTGAATGGTGAAGTCACCTTCATTCCTGTGAGCAAATCCCGTGAGTGGTCACATGCCTGAAACAACATAACCACCTAATTTGCTCTTGTTTTGCACAGATAATGTCTGGCCTCATGGTTGTTATTTTGTTCCACGGAATTCCACAAGCCTCAACAGAAACCTTCTGGGTCATATGTGGAGGCTCTAGAACTTTTAAGGCAGAAGTAGAGAGATCCTCTATCTGATGATGTCTACTTTGTTTCTTTTCTGAATGAGTCCATTCTTATTTAAGAAGATGGTAAGGCAGATGCAAAGGGAAGTCAGAGCTTAGATGAGAGACAGCTGAGTCACCTAGCTCAACCTCTGCTCACCCCATTTTCCCCACACAACAAGAAAGTGCTTCAGGGCACAGGAACTAGGCTGTGGACTCAGAGGGGGTTCACATAGTGGTTGTGGTTCCAAGAACAGGTCACAAGTCCTCAGCACCATGTATGGACCGTGTATGAGCCCTGGAAGAGTTACAGCTGAGGCCATGGGCAGTGCTAACACGAATGGAAATCTGATCAGAGCCTCTCCATACACACTGCACAAGCTCCTGCTCACATATTCACCTGTTCTGCCCTTCACTTGAGCTGTGGCCCCATTGTTCATTTCTATGATACTCTCAAATCCCTCCCCTTCAGAAGATTATTCCCGTACTCTAGTGGCATTTCACAGGGACATCCTCCCACCCTCATTATTGCACCACTTTTCCCTAACTAAACTCATGAACACTTCATGTCCCTTCACAAACTTAATCCATCTTAGCTCCCTATCTCTAGACCACACACCAGAACACTCCTACGTCTGAAGAGAATTCAGTTTCACAGGTAGGCAGGCAACCTTTCCTCTCACATGTCACTGCATCCACAATGCCTTCAGCCCTTCAACAGGAAGCATGTGCTGAGAGCATCTTCCAACACACTGTATCTATCTTATGGACTAACACACTCAAGAACCCCTCCACCACAACACACACACACACATTCTATACTGCAGATCATACACATCACGGAACATCACACCTACATATACACACACATACCACAAAACACACAAATCCAAAACCCCAGAATATGTCATTGACACATATACATATATGTGAAAGTAACACACAGATACAATCATTGACTCTTCCAACCTAACTCACTCATTGCAGTGTTCTCATTTGTTAACTCCAAATAAATTGCATATTAATCTCAAGCCCAATTTGAACCAATGTGTCATGAATTTACACACACTCAACACACAGCATTCACCATACTATTTCACTGTGATGTGGGCATGTGTTCTGAAAGCTCCTTCGTGTTTTCTCCAACATGCTATGTCTACCACCTCATGCACTAACAGTCATGAACCCCTCCATCACAGCACACAAATGCACACACACAAATTACTCCACAGAACATATACACAATCACCACAGAGTATAACATACCACAAAACACACATACACACAAGCCACATATATCCTGTACCACAGAACACACATGTAGCATAGTACACACC